CTCTAGCTTACCCTTCAGGGCTGTGTGGTAGATACTTATTAATATTTAAAACAGCTGTGAGAGTTTATGAAACAAAAGTTAAAATGCTACAAAATTAGGACTGGGAATTGTTGCATGGAGAAAAATTGCCTTGTGTAAAAGCAGTTATTTTAACATGGTGGGATATACACATCATTTGATTGGGTATGCTAGGTAAATACATTTACATAGATGACTCATTAAATTTGGGTGTGTTCACTGCAGAACACCTCTGAAAAATTAGAACATAATTTGATCAGGTAGTAGTCTTCCCCAAGATGCTCTAAGTATGATTAATCAGCAACTCGTATTTTCCATTCTTCTGATCATAAGTTGATCCTCTTAGAATAATGATTTTAAATTAAAGGGGGATAGCGCAAGGGGAAAAATAAATATACAAGTATCTTCCACTTTTTGAAAATTTGCGTTACACCACTTTGCTCTTACGAAAGACCTACATTGATACCTGGTTTTGCTAACTGAAAGAAATCTGAAGAGGATTTTCACTTTTAGGGGAAAAAAAGGCAAAAAGGGAAAATTGCATTTAGCGTTTGTTTTGCAGAGAGCTGTTAAAAGAGGCGGCACGCACCCCAACCTCCTCCCCCGGGACCACTCTCAGCATCTCAGCATCAAGCCGCCATAGCTTTGAACTGTGTCTGAGAGCATCTGTACTTTATTTCTCTTGATTTATTTTGTGCCCTAAGCTATCCGAAAAGCCTAAGAGGGGTTAATTTTGGAGTCTGGAAATACTCAAAATTTTCTCCTTGTAAATTAATGGCAGTTGTTTTTTTGCTTTACACCATTTTGGCTAATGAAAGGTTTCATAGGAAGGCTCTACTTTTGGATAGTGGGGGAAACCTGTACGTGGTCTGACACTCCTATGTATAGAAGGCAGTGGGAATCTCAGTCAGGTTTTTCAGCTAAGTCCGTGATGCTTTGCCAAACTCACTGGAATTAAAACCTGTACTCATACTCCCCAGAATTGTTAGTCTCTTCAGTAATAAGTTGGGACTTAATTTTTTATGGTCTCAATAAAACATTCAAGTAACTACATAGTTCCATTCATACATAGCCATTTTCCAAATGGCAAGATGTATCACAAAGTGAGTAACAGTGATTCTGGGAAGAACACGATTAGTTGCCTCATCCCAAGGAATGAAGGTCCTGGAGAACAATACTTTTCAGAGGTCAACCTTCCTCTGGTATCCTTAGGTCAGTTTCAAATGTAACTGATCCTACCTCACTTCATCCATATTCCCTGGACTTGCTCTGTACAAAAGGTTTAGATTTATTCATACTGATCTCATCCTGGTTTAGATCTCTAGGTTTGTTTTGAAAAGAATTTCCTTCCTCTTTCTCCTCTTCTTGTTCCTCCTTCTTTTTTTTTTTTTTTAATGTTTTATTTATTTATTCATGAGAGTCAGAGAGAGAGAGAGAGAGAGAGGCAGAGGCAGAGGGAGAAGCAGGCTCCCCGCCTAGCAGGGAGCCCGATGCGGGACTCGATCCCAGGACCCCGGGATCATGACCTGAGCCAAAGGCAGACGCTTAACCATCTGAGCCACCCAGGCGCCCCCTTGTTCCTCCTTCTCTTCCTGTCCTTTGATACCCAATGCTGGAGTCCCAAATATACTCTCAGTTTCCCATCAAGCCTAGGTGGCAGTTTCCAACTCAGGATTTGCTTCACAATCCTTGGGGAGAACTTGTAAACACTACAGATGTCAGATTTTACTTAGCCTGATTGGAATCTTTCTAGCTGCAAAAAGTATAAGGGAAGAATAGCCAGAAACTGTTCATTCATTTGTTCATTTGTTCATTCAGCAATTTTTGAATGGAAAATGTGCAACGTGCCTGGCTGTGTACTAGGTGCTGGAGATCCAGATATAAATAGAAATGAGCTTTGCCTTTAAGGGATTTATAGTCTGGTGGGAAGTAAGTGGGAAAGCTGAATGGGTAAAGAAAGGTGCTAAGGCCCAAAAGGAGAATTTAATTTGGCTTATGAGACGTGAAGCAGATAGTCAGGGACAGGAGTTTCCTGGGCAGAGAAAGACATTCAAAGTAGGACTAGGTTATGCAAAGGTATGGAGATGTGAGAGAGGTTAGCAAGTACTGGGAACTGCATGTAGTTCCTCATGTGTGTATGAGAAAACAAGAAGTAAAAGCTGTAAGTGGTAAAGGAATAATGGAAGAAAATTCCCAGAATTAAAAGACATGAGTTCACTGAGAGTACAGGCTGAGAGAGTTCACTGAATGTCCTACCAGTGAATGAAAAAGACTCACTCCTAAACATGTGCTGTTAATTTCAGGCTTCTGGAAATGAACACAGGGTCCTAAAAGCTTTCAGGGAAGAAGTAATAGTATAACAAGGATTAGTTACCAGAGCAGTATCAGGCTGCTTTATAGCCACATTAGAAACTAGAAGACTATGAAGTAATACTTCTGAAATTATAAGGAACATTATTTCCTACCTGGAATTGCAAACTCAGCTAGGCTACCAATGAAGACATTTAAAGACACACAGATTCTCAAAAAAATTGCATTCTGAGTACTCTATTAAGTTGCTAATGGGAGATATACACTGTTAAAACAAGGGAATAAACCAAGAAAGAGAAACCAGGGGCTTCAAGGATGGGGGGGGGGCGGGTTCTCACAGAGAAGGTGAAGGAAATTTTGGGATGATGGTGAAGGGAAGTTCCAGTCCATGTCAGGCCTATGTAGCAACCATCCAGCCAGATTGAGTCAAGATGAAGAGTACAGGAGGAATGTCTCTAAGAAAACAATAGAACACTCTCCCCCAAATTACCTGATGTTTTCACTTTATTAGAGGAGTTTTGCAGCTTGGGAGAGTTTGATGAGGTACATAAGTGCTAAGAATATAAAAAGCTAAGCAAACAACAAAAACGGAGCAACTAATAATTCTAAGAGAAACAAAAAGTTACCCAAGAAAGGAAAAATCATTGAATCCTACATAGCAGTTCTGGGAATATTTACTTTGTCTACAGTAGTCAGACTACTGACTATTGATTTAACTAAATGTTACAGTGTATTTGGAAGCTAGGAGGATTGGGCAAGTGTGACGTATTTCTATGCAAGGAGTAAAGAGGGTATATGAAAACTAAATCCTCTTCCATAGGGGGAAGTTAATAGGTAATATCTGAAATGGACCAATCAAGAAATAGAAATATGAACACATTTTGTAGAAATATGGAGGTAAATAGCAGAAGAAAATGCTAAAGGAGTTAAAATTAGTTCCCTCTGGAGAGAGAATTGGATGTGCGGAGGGATGGAGTAGGAGAGTTCTATTTTTTATTATAAGCTTCGTAGTCCTATTTTATTTTTATACTTTGATAAAATTAAAATGATAACAATATAGGCCTAGCATCAGTGACACTGAGGGAATCTTGCAAGTGGTGCTTTGCATTTTGTTGAACCAACTTTTTAGCTTGCATATTCTTTGTACCTACCTTTGGCACATTCCTAAATTTTATCCAAACTTTCTTCTTTTCTATAATTAAGTGAATATGAATTGAAGCAAAAGTTAGTAAGGTAAATTGTTGACTCACATGTGTGTATAGACTAAAGCTGGATGCAGTAGGTTTTTTTGCCCTGTATTTTTATGTAGACTGTAAGCTAGCTTTTAAACTTTAGATGATAAACAATCCTCTCTCTTGCCTTCTCCCCAGAGCAGAGCAGAGTTTGACTTTGTGTAAGAAATCAGCAATCTTGGGGCATCTGGCTGGCTCAGTAGGTAGAGCATGTGACTCCTGATCTCGGGGCTGTGAGTTCAAGCCCCCCATTAGGCATAGAGCTTACTTAAAAAAAAAAAAAAAACAGCATTCTTCAGTGACATGATGTTCCTAAAATGGGATTGCCAGTCAGCTGCACATTAGGATCTCTGAGCCGACTGTGTACATCACTCAGCAGAGCTTCAAGTTGTTTATGAAGAAACTTTGACCATTTATATAGATACAAACTGCCCCCTCCACCTTTTTATTTTGAAAATAATCAAACCCCACAGAGAAATGGAAAGAGTAGTGAAACACTCCTATAACTTTTGCCTAGATTCACCAGTTCTTAACATTTTGCCTCATTTGCTTCCTCTCTCTATATACCCATGCACTGTTTTTGGAGGTTGAGGGGGGCTGAACCATTTTAAATGAAGTTATAGGTATAATGCTTAAATATGTCTCCCAGTAGATCTCCCAAGAACAAAGACATTCTCCTACCGGACCAGAATACCATTATTATCCATGGATAAAATAATAGTACGTAATACATAGTTAGTATTCAGGTTTTCCTCAAATCCCAATAATACTTTGGGTAGATTTTGTTTTTTGATGCCAGTATCCAGCAGTGGTCAGTCATTGCCTTAAGTCATCATATTTATTTATGTCTCCTTAGGAAATTTTCCTGCTTTTTGTTTTTTTTAATCTTTCCTGACATTGACTGTTATGAGGACCCCAGGCCAGTTGTTTTGCATGCATATGGATTTGTCTTTTTGCTCCCTCATTGTGAGATTCTGGTTTACAGTTTGGCGAGAACTTGTGTACAGACTTTTGTTATCTACTTGCTTTTTATGCAGGTTCAAAATTTTAGTCCATTGTTTTCTTGTTTGTATGTTTTTGTTTTGTTTTTCCTGCTAATCTGTGGTTTGGCATGGGGTGTAAAGAATGACCGCTTACCCGGGTAATAGTAAAACTCCTTAGACTGCAGAAAATATCACTGTAATAATCTCTGGGAGGGGTCATCTGTTCCTCTGGAGACAAACATAATATTTTTTTTTTTTTTTTAACATTCTTGGCAGACTTCTTTGGATGACTTAATATATTGTAATCAAGGGCAAATTTTCTCCTCTTAAGTTCTGCTACAGTATACAGTCCAGGGAGCTACTTGTGGAAAACACTTGGCCAGCTTTCCTATCATCCCTAAACGGAACGTTTGCTTTCGGACTAGAAACCCTGAACGTGTGCTGAGTTTGCAGCATGGTGGCCCTCCTTGTGCAGGATGCCCCAGAGCTTAGGTTATGTATATTTCGCGTGAAGTGAGCACAACGTGGAGAGCCGGCGTGCCTCGGATGCCGGGAGAGCTATGCAAGCATGCTGCCGAAAGCATGCCTCCCGCTTGTCAGGGCTTAGTGATAGACCTGGTGACACAGTAGCCTTTAGGCAGAGCTCCTGGGGATGTGCAGGAAGTGCCGCGATGGGTTTTGTCAGGGGGGAAATCTGAGCCATTTCTCTGTGGACAGCTGTATTTCAAAGTCTAGGACAAGTGGCTGTTGACTTTTGCCGGGGCTGCCAGGGTAAGGGTTTTCACTTTGACTCGTTCATAGTCTCGCTTTCCTTTCTCCTAAATCATCCGGTTCTTTCTGGAAGTTTCACAGTGCGTGTTACATGTTATCAAAAGTGGGATTCCGAGGATTTGTTCCAGCGTGTTTATAATCCAACTTTTGCTTTCTCTCTGCAGATTTTGTGGGAGTCTAATACTTTGTCATTATGAGATGTCGTCTCTCGGTACCTCCTTTGTGCAAATTAAATTTGATGACTTGCAGTTTTTTGAAAACTGCGGTGGAGGAAGTTTTGGGAGTGTATATCGAGCCAGATGGATATCCCAGGACAAGGAGGTGGCTGTAAAGAAGCTGCTCAAAATAGAGAAAGAGGTAAGGTCTTTTTCTGCTGTCAGAAATGGTTGCGATTGCACTTATGTAACTTTTCAACCGAGTCGGAGGGCACGGGCTGTCAGGGCCCTAGCAAGTGAGGCCTTTGGGGCTGATCCATGAGGCTGTTTCCCAGTTTCCATTCTGGGAGCCCCATAAATAGAAATCATTGCCACATGTGCTTTAGGGTTGAGTTCTCCTAGGGGTCATCTGAACTGAGAGGATTTCTTTCCATGGCATGAAAGACCTGAATGTTCTCTGAGCTCTCCTTGAGGGGAAGGTGAGGTTTCAGACCTTCCTAGGCTTCAGGCTTTGCTTTTCCCCAGGTCAGCCGAGAGGGGTCAGTAGAGAGTAACGTGTGAACATTTTTATTCCCTTTCTATTTTGGGTTTCGTCAATTTGTGGCCATCAGGAATTGTCTTTTAAAAAATAAAAAGCGTTGGGGCGCCTGGGTGGCTCAGTCCATTAAGCGGCTGCTTTCGGCTCAGGTCATGATCCTGGGGTCTTGGGATCGAGCCCCACATCCGGCTCCCTGCTCAGCAGAGAGCCTGTTTCTCCCTCTCCATCTGCCTGTCACTCTGCCTACTTGTGCTCTCTCTCTGTCAAATAAATAAATAAAATCTTAAAAAAAAAAAAAAATAAAAAGCGTTATTTTTCTACTGAAATATAAACAATACTAGATACTTGGATTTCACCTCTACTAGAAGCCAAAAGTGATGGACTTTGTTTAATAAGGAATTAACAGGTGCTAGACAAAGAAAGGGCTGCCCTATTTGTAACATCAGAAAAGAGTCTTGGCCTCCCGAGTCTGGGACTTGTGCTGGTCCTGGAGGGAGCGCAGAGCCCCTACCTAGGCCCTTCCTCTTCCTTAGGAATATGACACAGCTTGGTCCCCACGTTCAGTTTGGGACCTGGAGAATAAAGCTAACTGTGGAACTGACCTGCAGGGGCTCAGTGCATTGATAGCTTTTAACAGCTACCCTCTGGAGCTTGTTCCGGTCATTTCTCTTTATGTCCTCTTTTGGCTAATTATTGGTTTTTTTCCCCAATGTCTTTTTAAAGGGAACTTTTCCATAAATATCTTTTAATCTTCCCTGAATGATTTCATTTTTTTTTTTTATTAACTGCTGTCAGTGAACCATAGCAATTGATTAGAGAAGGAGACCCGAATGGCAACACTTTGTGGCATTTCCTCCCAGCAGTGCTGTGTGACTCTGTGGTCACCAGCTGGGTTTCCAATTGTTGAAGCCAGGTGAGAAGGACTAAGATCTTTCTGCCTTGGGGTAACCTGTAGGTTGTGAAAGCATTAAGGAGCGATAGCTTTTAACGCCAGTGTGCACACAAAACAGAAGGGTGCTATGTAGAAAAAGTTTCCTCCCCCTTATTTCTTGATCAACACATTTGAAAATAGTAACCACATAGTAAAACCATTTTTTACCCTGGATGGAACCTAGCTTCTTTTATCTAGTGAACGCTACGTCCTTTACAGGCAAGCATTATTGTACCCATTTTATAGATGGGGAAACAGAGATTTGAAAAATGTATTAAGGGGCCTCAGGAGGGGCAAGTAAAATCCAGGAGATCAGACCCCGTTCTGTAGTTCTTAACTCTGATATCTGTAGTTGACCAGGTTAGACAGAAAATAAACCAGTTCCATCAAATTTATATTCAAAATATTTAAGCATGCTAATGTTTGTAAGCATTATGTCATGCAGCTTCCGTACAACAAGCATGTTCTTGTATGATTGTTGCATGTGAGAAAGACTTTTCGAGTCATAGAACAAATTTTGCCAGGAAAACAGTAATTGCAACCTATTCACTCCACCCCCACCCCCCATACATAATACCACTTATTTTTTAATTTTTTTAATTTTATTTTTTTTACTATCTTTGAGAAAGCTAGGCAAATGACATAGGAAAGCACAGGGGTGAAAGCAGGAGTTGGAAACTACCAAGTCCTGCTCTTATGTAGGTATTTAACCTAAATGGGTTATCATTCAGAAATTGAGTTGATTTATAGTAAACTGCAGGAACATAACTCATAAACTTTAAGTAGGAAAACCAGAAACTCAGTTTCAGCTTTGGGGGCTTGGTTAGTCAGTGACTGTCAGTGATAAGGAGACATGGTCAATTATTGCAAAGCATCCCCACACTTACTGACTCAACATGAGTTTGAGATGTAAAACATTTTGGCTAGGGGTTGGCAGTTACTGGGAAAGAAAATATGCATTTCTTAGGTTGATTTTTGTTTATGAACTGTGTACTGGCTTTCCAGCTAGGTGTTTTCTAAGTAAGGTAAAGGTAATAAGCTCTGGATTTTTTTCCAACGTGTAGATTCAGTTTTATGTTACTTGGTCATTTTTGCCAAGAAGCAATGGGACGTTTAATAATATGTTTGAAGCTCACTCATGTAACTCTTGAAGGGTATCTGATATCTGATTATGTTTTATAAACTTCATGAAAGGTGGAGAAAATATTTCCCAAACTCTTGAACTTCACATATGTAAGAGGATAGAGAATGACTTTCTATTTTGACTTTTTTTGTAGACCTCTAATTTAGTATGTATTACTTTTGTCTGCTTTAGTGAGTATCTATTACTTTTTTAATTTAGAAGAAAAGAGAGAAAAATGGAATTTACTTAAAATCTATGTAGTTATTTAAAACTTAATTTTTAAAAAATTTTTACACCTAGGGAGTAACTACAAGAATAGTACCTTGAATTCTAGCATTCTCCTAGAATCACCACTTAACATTTTTCAGCATTTGCTTTCTCTTTATATATTATATTAATTTATACATATTCATACATGTTTTTGTTTGTTTAGAGATTTATTTATTTTGAGAGAGATTAAGAGAGAGAGAGAGAGAGAGGGCAGAGGGCAGAAGGAGAGAATCCTCAAGCAGACTCCCTGCTGAGTGTGGAGCCCGATGCAGGACACAGTCTCATGACCCTGAGATCATGATCTGAGCTGAGACCAAGAGTTGGATGCTTAACCGACTGAGCCACCCAGGCACCCCTGTATTCATACATATTTTATTGAACCATGAGATAAATTGCAGATACTAGGTACATCTATCCCTAAACACTTTAGAATCTCCTGAGAATGCAACCGTAATACAACTATCCAATCAGAAAATTTAATACTAATGCAATAATATTACCTATCCTACAGTCTGTATTCAGTTTTGTTGACTGTCCCAATAAGGACTTTTTATGGCAGTTTTTTTCAACCCAGGATCCAATCAGGATCACATATTGCACTTAATTGGTGTATCTATTTAGTCTGCTTTAATTGAGCAGTTTCTGTGGTTTTCTTTGTCTTTTAAACTTTGACATTTTTGAAGAGTGCAGGACAGTTGTGTAGAATGTCCCTCATTTTGGGTTTATCTGATTTTCCCTTCCTCTTGCCTAGTTTAAGGTTATGTGGTTTTGGTAGGAATACTTCAGAGGTCATATGCCCTTGGCATATTTTAAGGGAGACTATGATGTCTGTTTGTCTCGTTATTGGTGATACTAATTTTGAACCCTCGACTAAGGGGTTCGCCCAATTTCTCTACAGTGAAAATACCTTTTTTCTCCCCTTTGTAATTAATAATTAAGCTGTTGGAAGATACTTTGAGGCTATGTAAGTATCATCTCCCAACACAAGTTACTCAATGTTTTAAGCATCTGTTGGCGATTCTTGTTTGAATCGGGTATTATTATGACAGTTACTGTGTAGACAGCAAAAAGATCTAGCGTAAATGAGAGCCTTCCTTTCTTCACTTGTTTATTCACCTGTTCATTCATTTATTGTTTCATTGTAGACTTATGGATTCTTTTTCAAATTCAAATGTTGTATTACATTGTTACTCACTTTCATGCTGAAAATGTCCCGATGCAAGAGTCCCTTCAAGTTAGTTCCTGTGTCCTTTTGATGTCTCCATCACTTTTTAGCATTTTCTTCCTGGCACAAGAAGATGTTCCAGGCTGATCTAGTTCCTTCCTGATTCCAGGAATCAGCCATTTCTTCAAGAAGCCCTGGTTCCTGGGGCGCCTGGGTGGCTCAGTCGTTAAGCGTCTGCCTTCGGCTCAGGTCATGATCCCAGGGTCCTGAGATCGAGCCCTACATCGGGCTCCCTGCTTGGTGGGAAGCCTTCTTCTCCTTCTCCCTCTCCCACTCCCCCTGCTTCTGTTCCCTCTCTTGCTGTGTCTCTCTCTGTCAAATAAATAAAATCTTAAAAAAAAAAAAAAAAGCCCTAGTTCTGGGTACTTGATTTGGGACTATGATATTTAGAAACCAAGATTTGGATACTAGTTTTGTTTATTGTAGACTTACTTTTTAAAAAGAGCCTTTGGGGGCACCTGGGTGGCACAGTTGGTTAAGCATCCGACTCTCTGTTGCTGCTCAGGTCATGATCTCAGGGTTGTGAGATGGAGCCCCATATTGGGCTCTGCGTTCAGTGCGGAGTCTGCTTAAGATTCCCTCTGCCTCTCCCTCTGCCCCTCCTCACCCCACACTGTCTCTCTCTTTCTCTCTCAGATAAATAAATAAATCTTAAACAATAAAAAAGAGCCTTTGTTCTTTGGGAGAAAGAATGGTTATAGATAAATTTTACTTCTGGAGGCGTTTAATTTAAACATTAATATCACATGTATGGCTAGCTATGATCTGTGATATGCTCCTGTTAGGGATGTAAGTTCTTGGAAAGAGATTAGCAAAACGTATCAAAAATCTTAAAATATTTACTTTCTTTGAGCCAGAAATTTTACTTCTATGACTTTATCCTAAGGAAATAATCAGAGATGTGCAGAAAGATGGAGGTAATGGCTGCTCATCTCAGAGGGATAATGGTGAAGAACTGGAAAGGACTCAAGTGTTCTGTAACAAATTATCTTATAAATTATGCTACTTCTCAAACACACACACTAACGCAAATATGGGAGGTGATAGATGTGTTACTCCCATTGTGAATCCTTTCACAGTATATACATATAGTAAAATCATCGTGGTTTATACTT